CGCCCAGCGTCAGAAGCACTTGGCGTTCGGCACAAGGCTTTTGGACCGAAAGGAGATTGAAGATGCTGAAGGGAAGCCCTAGCCTTCCAAGACCATTAAACAAGTGTTTATTTGTTATTTTGTTGTGCAAGATCCTGAACAAAGGGTTCTTCGGTAAGAGCCATGAAACTGGCGGTTACCAATCCTGGGAAGGATTCCCTCAAGTGGAAGGTTTTGAGAGGCCGGGGCGAATGAGCAGGGGCCTCGTAAAAATGAAGAGTTGTTTGCCTTAGCAAGCCTGACATCCATCTCGGATGACCTGCGGGATGAAGCTTCCAAAAACCGCCCTATGGGCATCTGGACTTTTTTTTCTCATGGGCGAAGCGAGTGAGCAGGGGAAACCGCCAGGCTCCTAGTTCATCAGCTGTTTGTCTTCGGCGCGACTTGGCAGGAAAAAGCGCATATCTTTCAGATGCTGATGCGGATCTTTTTTTAGGATATTTTAGGATCTAACATGGAAGTCCCCAGAATGCACATCTTCAAGCTGGGGTCACTTGGCAGCCTCCCCCAAGGATCAAATCCCCAAGGCGGAACCGATGTGGCGAACATGGCCCGATGCCCTGAACTCGGGTCCTGAGCGAGGGGCTTTTGGTTGGACCACCAATGAGGCACAATTTCCAATCCCTACAGGTCCATGACCTCATTTGACGTGGCCATATAACAACACCACTGAAGGATGTAAAGGACCAGGCTTTACTGGGTCTTTGGACTTGTAGGGTAAACATGGAAGTGGAACATGTCTATTGAGTTTCGGAGGACCGCCGAATTCGAATCCGAAGACCAAACAGGGGATGAACTCACTCACTCCACTTCCATGTGAATGACGACCCCTCAAACCTGATCGGTCGTGGGTACGGTCGCGGGTCCTCGACGATGTCACTGGCGCCCCTCTTGCGATGTCAGCGGCCGGCAGAGCCAAACAAGAACCGCAAAACGTACCTTGTTCCAGAACCGCCCCGTCGACGATGGTTGTCGCGACACAAGGACATGTGCGCGTGGCTGTGTGTGTGAGAGATGTTTGCCTTTCAATCCTTAAACAGCCCTATATCTCGATCTGATTTAAAGCTTTTCAATCTGATTGATCTTTTCAATCCTTAAACGGCCTATATCTCGATCCATCCCACAGGTCATTTGCTCTTTTTGATGTCTTCCGTCTCACCCCGGCGGCACAAAACCGCGCGGCTCTCGCGCCGGTCTGGGTGATCATCATCCCGAGCGGAAGGACGGTGCAAAGGTGGCCGCGGCTCGGGGGGAAGGAGGCGTCCCTGCTTTGGGAGGTGATTTTCCTTATGTAATGTGTCATGTTATGTGGTTGTACACGTTAGTGTCACATGAATCATGAATAGCATGTTTTGCATTCTATTATATATGACATATGCTTTTTGCTGGCAGGCATGTTCTGAAGTACGCCTTTGCATTGCATCAGGGCGTGAAGGTAAAGCCAGAGAGACCCCCGCAAGCCGCCACACCGAACATCTCCACATTTCTCAGTTCGGAGATGTTTGGAGTGTACTGCCCCAGGGACGGCCACACCGAACAGGAAAAGACAGACGCAACACCCCAGAGGATAGACTGCAGGCAACACCTGCAGCCACCGACTCGGGAGATTGAAAGGTTTTGGAGCCAAGGTAGGTCCATCCAAGACAAGGTAGGCGCAGCTTGAACACCTTCCATGCTATTTCAGCAGTTTAAAAACACGGCACTCGGCGGGTGCTGGAGTCAACGAAGAGGCTGCCTGCAGCAGTAACAGATGAATTCCCTGGAGTTTGGAAGTCGTAAACGACTATTATATATATATATATCGACGTCAAGATTTCCCGCATAGAATGGGTGACCTCAAGGCCAGTATAACAGCGTTTTCAAATAAGAAAATGCCGTTTAGGCCAACCCTTTTGTAAAGGCCAACAAAAATGGCGTTTAGACCCCTAACTTTGTAAGAATTTCGTGGTGGTATCAACGTTGTAGCCAACCATTTTGTAACAGTGTTTTAGTGTGTGAAGTTGCGCAGATGTACTGTTGAACCTGTCCGCATGGGTTCCAGGTTCACCTCTTCAGGTGCAGCTTTGACGCTGTTGGTCCTCACGAGCGCACGGGCTGTCCATCACCCGAATTCGGCTCCAGCGGTCGGGCGGAACCGGGGCACCGGGCTGTGGCAGGTGCCGGTGATGAGCGAAACGGGCCGGGCGAAACGGTGAGGGTGGGGAGAGGAGCATGGAGGGTCTAGCAGTTTAGCATCCTAAGATATCCTGAGTCTGATGGCCTCATGGAATCCAATGATGCATATGCTTCCGTAATTGCGATAAAGTTGGCTTTAGCTTATGTGGTTTTTGGGTGGAATGTCCAGTCGCGTGATTCGTGCCCTGTGCATACTATATACTAGCAGTTAAACTAGCGTATCGACTCCGCTTCTTTGGACAGAGGAATGAACAACTCCGAGCTGTTTTGTGAGAGCCCCCTTGGTTACCACAGCAGGTTGAACATCGCCTGTTTTGAACTATTGTAGGGGGGGAACAGTTTGCCCAAACCCAGCCCAAACCCTGCTGTGCCCAGTTGGTTCTTTAGTACTGTACATGAGGATTGCCTGGGCAACGCGCTCACATCCACAAGCTTAAAACGCTCCCGAACCCGAGATGGCTCCTGCCTTCCAAGACCACTCCCTGCCTTCCAAGACCATGAAGAAAATCAGGTTGAGTGTTGTAGTTCGACATTATATAGAGGATAACAACATAATATAGTAGTTGTTTTGGCAAAGACCATTCAAACCCATGGTACGTTTTCTATTGAAGCCTTGCCTTTCTGAAGTCGGAAAGAGGGCAATTTTTGGTGACATCGCACTACAAGCTTCTTGAAAACATCAGATGATTGGTGGTGCCCTCCGCTCCAGGCTGTCGGCAGCGCACCACTGCGCTGTCGTGACGCCTGAGCACAGAAAAGGGCCCCATGGAGGAGGGACGATTTTGGGTTCCTTTGTTCGACCCAAACATGTGCGTTTCGAACGATCAACGCAGTGCATTTGCTGCTTGGAATTTGAGGAGTGATCTCTTCTTGCGCAGCTCCTAAGATGCTGTAAATGCTGACCAGCTGACACATTCGCTAGCTACTGTAGATGGCAGGTGCGTTTTGATCGAAGGGGGACCTCTGTGTAAACTGAAACGTGTAATTCATGGTACAATTTACTATGTGTTTTACTGGTCTGGGTCGGGGTTGCGGTGGTTTTCAGATTGGATAGGCTGAGGAGGCTTCGCTAGCCTGCTTAGCTGGGAAGGAGGATCAATGCCAGACAATCGACTTCGGCTCCCTCGAAATGGAGGTAGTTGGAGCTAGGGTTTGGTTGACCACTTTTGGAGCTGTTGATGAGTTTGGCTAGTGAACGGGGTGGCTAGTTAGGGGTTCTGAGGGCATCAAAACGGCGGACGCCCTGACGAAAAACGGCTCTGTGAAGTAGGGTGACTTATTTTTGGGGGGCTGGGCTGGTGGGGGGGAGGAAGCGCCACAGGCTGTGCTTGAACAAAGCTAGAGCATCGAAAACGACCTCATTGGTAGTAGACTATTGTAAAACCTCTTCAGGCCTGGAAGATTGACACAATTCGTGGTTTCCTGGTGGTGACTTCTTACCCATCTTTCTACGAAGCTGGCCGGCACCACCGCTGGCCGAGTTTCGCGGGGGGGGCACTCTGCCAGGATGAGCTTGAAGCGCAGGCCCAGGTCATGGCCGAAAAGGCGGCCTGGAGGGAGCCGGGACTGGCGAACAGTGGGCCTTAGGACAGTCATGCCCTCCTGACAGGATAGCCTTATTATATAGTTATTTCAATCATCGCGGGGACGAGAGGGTTGTTTTAGGATGTTTTAGGTTATATATGTTTTCATATGTTTTCGTTTTGTGGTGCTAGACTTAAGGACTTGAAACTTATATAGATCATAGATCAGCGACTGGATCATAGAATCTGCCGTCAATTCCTGGATCGTTGTAGCTGGGTCACTTGCAACAAGTGACATCAATTGGGTGAAAGTGCCACTTGGACAGAGGTTGAAAAACCTGATGGGTCCCGGAACGTATTTTGTAATGGGCTCTGAGGCTGTTCAAACTTGGTAGGTTAACCACTAGAGCAACCGCACTCTTTTTACCTATAGGAATCCTTTTCTCCATGGCAGGGGTTGGAACCCCCCTCTTCCCCAGGGGGTCTGGACTCTCAAAGCCGGGGTCTGAGGGCCGAAGAGAGAGCTCCTTGTTCTGGCCACCCTCTTCCAACACCCATTCTCCACCAACACCATCATGCTTTTTCAATCATTTTGGGTTCCGACGTCTTCCTCAGCTCGTGCATGTACTGCCACTGTGCCGGGCCTGGACCGTGCCGTCCGCGGCGTTTGGTTCAAGCTAGGTGAGCTGGCTGAGCTATCGAAAGAGTCCCTGAGTTCACGGACATATGGGTTCACCGTGGTTCACCACACAAAGCTGAAGCTTGCATCAGTAGGATTCGAACATGTGTAAGGTTCGGTTCGGACTCAAACTAGAAAGTTGTTTTTCTCCTGAAACGGCAATTATTCATAGATTTGTTTGATCTCCTATGATATAGGTAGTGGAACTCACCATTTATACTGTTCAAGCAACCTGCTCCAGCAAGTCCAGGGCAACAAGAGTTAGAAGATGCTACAAGCACTCAGCTGCGAGTAAAAAAATCTGAGATCAACTTGCTGCAGAGATCGATGTCTTGCCCAGCACATCAAGTTGCCACTCATCTATTTCGACACGCACGGGCCGGATTCAAACCATCACAGCACATCCGAATAGCAAGCTCATTAGGAGGGCCCCTGCTTTGGCTGATCCGGCCCCATCCAGCCACGGACCCACGTGTGAACTTCAATCGCATCCCCTACCGGCTTTTTCTCGCATCGGGTTGTGCTTCAGTAAAGCATGGGATTTGACACGGTCTGGATTCTTGAAAACGCGAACTCCACAGCGTAGCTCTCCACACATCTCCACTTGCTTTACGGCCGCGGGATTCCGTGGCCTCGTTGGCCGCGGATGCATCCAGACCATGGGCGAAGGAGAGGATGAGTTGGGTCGCAGGTCGGAGAACTGGAGGAATTGCTTTTGCCATCTCTTGCCCCCAAAGCATCCCAAAGTACCAAATACATCCCAAGCACGCAAGGATCATGCAGTTGCTTTGTTGCATCAGAGATGCCATCAGCAAGGAAAAGACAGGTCACCATTTATTTGACTTTGTTGGTGAGTTGTGACATGTTGCAACCTTCCAGGGGCGACCTCTTGGGATTTCTGCTAACCTTCTGTGTGATCGTGATGTTGGGGGTGGCTCCAGGGCCAAGCTCCTTGTGATGGATCCATACCGGCAGTGAGATAGGGATACCCCAGCCGGTCAGCTTTGATGAGCCTGGGCTAGGGTCCCTGGTGATGACGCAACTGACACAACGGCTTGTGGAGGAAAACCGTCTTGAAGAATGTGGTTATCCAGGATATATTTAATAATCCTCATTCCTCATTGTTCACATACTCAATCTGAGTCTTCAACCGTGGATCGCATAAGTATGTTTACACGTTCTACACGTCTGAAAACTCAAAGAGTTCCATGCATATTCTTGATTAGTAAATATTAGTAACCTCCCCACCATTTTGATGGCAAAACCTCATTCATATGAAGGGGAGGTTGACATGTCATCATATATCATCCATAAAAGTAATTCCTTAACACATCGGCCAGGTTTTCAGTTTTGAAAAAAAACATGACTGTTCTAAGTCTAAGTGTATAATTGTCCGTCACTATAGTATAGGTCTTCTCTTCTTCAAACACTCCCCGGAATCATCATGGGAGTGGCAAAAGGTCCCTTGAACCATGACGAAGTCCTCTACAGACAGGTGGTTTTCACTCCATTCCGGGGAGTCTAGGCCTTGTACTACACCAGGTGTGAACGAATCCACACTGCACCGTGGATGCTTCCGCTTGCATCCGCTGGGTCTCCCAGGACGGGATGCTTCACCCCCCGACGGGGACGCGGATGCCTCGGATGCCTCGGACGCCGACGGGGACGCCACGGCGTCGCGTGCGCCGCGCGAGGCGGAGGGGCAGCGCCTTGGTGCCAATGGGAGGCCTCTTTCGGAGGGTGAATAGTTTGGTGGGGGGGTGGGCGGAGTGGGGGCATTTTTTACTTTTTCACGGGGGTGGGCGGGGTGGGGGCGGCCAGATGGATGTGAGCTTCGGGGGGGAAGGAAGACGATGGAAGAGGCAGCAAAGGGTGGTAGAAATATCGATCATCAGACCATGTCACTGAATCTTCCATTTTTGAATCCAAGATGTGAACGCGTTGACCACCCGCAATGACCCTGGAAGGTGAGCTCGATTCTGCAAACTCTGGCAACTGCCGACATGCAGGTGCCAGAGTTGCCGCATACATACAGACTACTGGCATGGACATGCAGGCACGCCCCTAGTCCTTCGCATGAACAGTTGGGTCACGTGTCGCATTTCATGCCAACCCGCCTTCCTGAGGCCCAAATCATCTGGGTATCCAGGCGCAGCAGATGAGTGGGATGAGATGCTGCTTTGTGCACTGACCTTTGCAAGTACATTCTTTGATTTCTTTTGTGTATTTTTTTTTCCGGTGCTTAAGGGTTGTACTTCAGGGGGTTGGCTGTGTCTTTTCCTTTTTTGGATCTAGAGCCTAGAGTGGCGACCACGGCTGTGACAAGGTCCACTGGAGATCCGCTTTACGCAAGACAAGACTCTTGGCAAGGGCAATCGCTCGATGACCCTGAGTGGTGGGTGCAGAATGGCCCTTTGTGAGGCACCCAAGTAGGAATTTGCAGAACGAATGCAGACTACACACCCCACAATGAATGTCGGTGCCAGGGAGCTTGCAAAGGGGTGTTGGTAGTCTTGTCAATGTAAGGCTACCCCTTTGGAACTTTAGTCAGGCTCCTGCTTTAGTCGGGTTCATCCCCAATTAAGTTGTGCCATTAGATCTAATCTAATCTGATCTACAGTAGAGAGGAGGGGAGGAGGGGTTCATTTAAGGGGTTCTCTAGGTTGGAGGACGTCTTTGGTTGTGGACTTCCATCCTGGGCTTTGGACAGCTTTCGGCTTGTGGCTTCGTTTGAATATCCAAAGTTCATGAATGGCTCATGTTTGATCGACTCCAATCATGTCAGTCGGTTTGGTCGGATGAGTTGGAAGCCTCGGACCAGGTGCGTGCCAAGCACAAACCGTTTCGCGTTGTGCGGCGGTTACCGCGCGTGCGGCATCGCGCGGCTGTTGCTGAGTATCCACCCCTTCTTCTACCGGCGGGGGCCCATCGTCCATGTCTTGCCCAAGATACGCTCAGTGCCTCGATATCCGACGGGGGTGGCGGAGGCAGACCTTGGGCACCTGGCGCAGGCAGTCAAGATCAAGCAGGCTGCTGACCTATGATACTATGTTACGATGTTGACATGCTGACGTGTGTTGATCCTACTCAAGTCTATGACAGGGAACATGAATCATATGTGTATAATGATCTTAATTGGAACCCCCCAAATCACGGATGTTCAAGAAACTGGTCACTGGATTTGAGATCCCTGCCTCCTAGCAGACCCTCTTAGTAGAGCTCCGGTGGCTTCTGTGGCACGCTCCCCTGGCTCCGCCGGGCTGCGCCCCCTGACGCACACCGCCGAGGTGGCCCTGTCCGACGGCACCTGGGAACTGCTACCGCCCTTTGGACCCATCCATTGCTTGAGGAGACGAAGAGGTTTAGGGGGTGAGGACGGCAGAGGTAAGGACCCACCATCACCCACCAAAGGAAAGGACCCATCGGGTTTTGAGTCGTGTATTTTTGTTTTTTCCCTCTCTCCTGCACAATGTAGAGAACCCTATATAGTACAGTAAATCAATGGTTCTTCAGGATTCAGAGTATCTAAAGCGCTTGTTGGAATCTCGGGGGGGTGGATGACGACGCGCTCGGGCGGAGCGCGAGCATCGACCGGAGCACGAAGATCGGGGGTCGGAGTATGTCGCGTGCTGCTTCTCCTTCATCTTCCTGCACCTTCCTGCAGGGCTATCGTGCTAGATAGTGCTTTTGCTTTTGGTGCTTCTGCTTCTATACGTAGCATGCCTTCAGCATGATAGGGGTCCTTGAGCGGTCCGAAGACAGAACATGTGGCACCAATTAGAATTCAACATTCGATCAGTGCGTTCTTCTTTGGTGCCCGGGTCCGAGAGCATCAGCAGAGCCGAGCCATCGAGCCATCGAGCCGAGCGGGAAGGGGAGGGCGAGGGCTGAGGTGGATTGGATGGTCGGCTCCCATCAAGCGGGAAGCTTACTTCATGGGGGCACAGCTGAGTAAGACCTTCTTGGAGACTCTTTGTCTTGGGGAATCCCTTCTGTGGGGCCCATAATGGTTAGCTTTTTCCGACATCACCACTAGAGCTTGTGCAGGCACCGAAACTCTTCTTGGCGATTTTCCGTCAGCCTAAATCGATGTTTTGGCCACATGGGTTGACCTGGTGGTCTAAAGTCAAACCCTTGAGTAATAGCAATGGTTCTTCGGCAAGCGCCATGGTTGGAATCCTGGGGTATTGGTTCGACGATGTTATGCGCATTAGCTGGTGGGGGGCCACCACATTTTGGACGCAATTGGTACGTCCACTCCCAGGAAGAGAATCATGAAGACTGGGCTTCTGAATTATTCCCTTGCAGAAGACCAGGGAACCCCAAACCCACTGGGTTGGTCTTCCGAGATTCCGAAAATCGTCGAAACCTTGGGTCAAGTCTCAGGTTCCACGCTAGTTTGCGGTGTGTGTGTGTGTGTGTGCGTTTTCTCATCTTTAGGTGACATAAGGCGACCAATGACGCAACCGTCCACCGTGTGGCAACCGGGCAGGAAGGATGATGAGCCCGTGCGCAAAGCAAAGCGCCCAAACATCGGCACAACGAGTGAGCGGCACTAGGGTAGGTGCCCTTATGTAAGTATGAATATAGTAGTAACAAGTGCCACGCTAGTAGTAACAGGTGCCTTACTAGTAGTAACAAGAAGCTAGTAGTAACAAGTGCCACGCTAGATTCTAATAGTAAGATATAGCAAGCAACGGCCAGTAACTACTGTCGAAGGCACACCACGATTCTATCCTCTTCATACTAGCTCATCAGAAGCATCAAAGGGGCATGATGAGCAAACAGGCGTTCTTTTAGGGGTACACTCACCGATGGCACTCGCCGGTAAAGGAAGCAAAAGGCAGCCATGATCTAATCTAACCCCTCCAAATCTCAAAAACACCGTCTCCCTGCTCTGCCTCGCCAGGAGGGGGGGGCGCCTCTGGTCCATGGACAACCGGCGCCTTTATGCCCTACAGCTTTGCGCCATGGATTTCTGGCCTCGCCAGGCTGGGGGCGCCGCGAGGTGATGCGGAGAATGGCGGAGGAAACGAGCTGCTCCCAAAGCAGATGAGGGACGGTTCCGTCCTCTTACTATATACAGAAGTTTTCATTGTCAGCTTCTACACTGTCGACCATGAGATATGTTCGTTTAGATTACGATAGTATGCTGCTGCTTACATTAATTTTAGATTGCCATTATTTACCATTAGACTGCCAAACCAGGTGCGGGTGAAGTGCCTGGTGCGCGAACGTTTGCCACGCCACAAGTTCAAGACGCAGCATCTGGGATCGGACAGTTTATTTTTTTTGTTGGGGGGGGTGGGGGTCTCGAGCCACTCAGTGGGGCGGGGGGCCATTCAAATGACTTGGCCTCTTGGAGAACGACTTGGTAATACAGCTGAAAAAGAGATGAGCGGTGGATAGCGGTGGCCCCCAGACGTCGTGTCTAGATGTTTCATGGGCTCGTGCTGGATGTTCATCGCTCATGCCTCCTTGGAAGCACTTCAATTGAATTCGACTGGTTTTGTTGTTAATTCTGCACCACCTGCGGTTGGTCCGAGGTACCGCAAGTTCAACACCACCAGTGAGTCTTGGCACATTGAGGCTGTGAGGTCACCAAAAGGAGTTAGGCAAGCGTGCAGGAGCGTGCAGCTGACATATCCACCATATCAATTGGAAGGTGAACTGATTTAAGAATATACATACATACATATATTTTTAAGGATGCCAAAAAAAACAGGAGTGCACCGTGAATCTCTCGACCACCTAGAACCATGCGCCACTGTGTGCGCCACTGTGTTTTGGCTGATTGCGCTTCTAGTTGTTCAGCTCCATAGAGGACCAGGATGAACGCACGGACCGAGCTCTGGAACTTCGCCTCGATGTCCTTCAAAGCAATACTCAACTAGAGCTATACATAGAATCACACACATCACATATATATATAATATATATATATATATTTATACCTTTATATACATGTAAGATCAAAAGCTGCTGGCTGCTCGCCAACTTCCTCAGGAGGGGCGCACCATCGGGTTGAGCACCCGCTATCAGCACTTTGAGACCTGGAACTGGCATGAGAAAGCCTTGGAGATGGAGGGGCCGCTGGGCGAAAAAGTGCCGCAACTGCCGAGTTGAACATTGGATCTTCCAAGTTCAGGCATCACGGCCCCAAGGTCAGGCACGGAAGTAACGGGATAGTACGGGGATCCCTTCGGACGTTTTGAACAGTTCCAGCGAGTTCGGAGGCCAATTCCAGCGAGTTGGGAGGCCAATTCCATACACTCCTTACGATTCCATACTGATTTGGAGACTGAGAGCAACATCACGGATTGGGCGGGATGTTTTAAGATTTTTGGAGTGGGTTCACAGTGAATTTTACTTTCATTGAATAGTTGCTTGGTTTAGGCGATGGGGTAGGTCTTCTACGTTTATGTCAATTTGGGAGGGCAGCGACGGAGTACATTTCCTGACACTTGGCAACGCCCAGAGGGGGGTAGAGGAAGAGAGAGGGAGATGTGCCAGATCTCTTCCATGCCCTTAGGTCCACCTTCTCTCAACGACTTGGGATGGTGCTGACCGTCTTTGAGGCACCGGTTCGACTGATCTGCTATGTGCCATGTACCTTCAAGATGAAAACTGTGCAGTTGCCCAACATATCGAACTCACAGGGATCTTGGGCATGACATGCCTACAAAGAGAGGGACATTTGGCATTTCAGCAACGCTACGTGCATCATGTTTTCGCCCTTCGCCACCCGGCCCAGAATGAATCCCTATAATTATGTCCATGTGTACAGGCACACACACAATTCAACATACACTGGAAGACAATTATTAGAACATATGTTCAATATATTCAGTATATATTTATATATAGATACACATGTCACATAATATAGCAACATGATATGTTTGTTTATAGTACAAATATGTAACAATCGTGAACACATAATAAGAAGTTATATATATATATACATCTATATTCATATATTTATAGAGAGAGAGAGAGAGTCAGGGAGTGGATTGTGCACGCACCGGACCTGCCTTGCGGTCCGGTGGCTTTTTTGGGTGTGTTTTTGTTTCCAAACCTCCCCAGGCGCTGCCAGTGCTGGGCGCCTTGCTCTTCCGTAGCGGTTGGACTGGACTGAGCTCGCGGGCACCATTGCTGCTGAGCTCCTTGGCTTCGGAGTTCGAAGATGTTTCGAGCCAAAGGCAAGTGAGTGGAACTGCAAGTGAGGTATTAAGATGTATTAAGAAGTCAGGACTGAAAGGGACGGGATGGGGAAAACATATTATCATATTATGTATTCATATGTCGTATATAAATTTGATACTATAATTGTAAAATAGTGTAAATATATAATATATATATAGTTATTGATTGCAATATGATTACTATTCAATATGTTTCAAACACATGTGGTCATTCTTCCTAATTATGATGCCTCCCACAGTTAGAAAGTTTTAGCAATTTTGGAGTTTGGAATAGACTTTTACGTTGGTGGAGCGATGGTATGCGTTGTTCATCACACTTTCCTACTCACATGCCCCGCTGAGCCTCTAACAACTTGACGGGGATCCGGCATGCAGGTTGATGTTCCTTCACTTGGTTCCGGCTCCAGGTCATCCAACGCTTGAATCAAATGCCAGTTCCGGCCCCAAAAAATTGAATCAGCCCCAAACTCACTTGCGAACTGTCCAAGGTCCGCTCCTCTAGACCCTTCCACATCAGTCAGGCTTTGTGGTGGCCTTTGCTTTGGACTTTCTGCGGCAGCGCTACCCGAAGCTCTTCCACACGCTCAGCCGGATGCAGGTGACGCTCCGTCTGGACACCGGGGACCGCGGAGACCATTGGAGGTCGCCAGGGGGATTGGAGGTCAATGGGCTGAGTGGGGGGCGGCTGTTTGGCTTAGTTTGAGCAATTCAATGGCTGGTCATGATGAAAAACCAGAAAAAATATTTTATGTTATGTATATAGATTAACCAGTCATAATTCAAGTACAGACTGGACTCACCAAAAACGCGCAAAGACCAAGAGCCTTCGAACTTGGGAGTACTTACATGAGTAGTGGGCCAGTGGGTAGTTCAGCTCAGGGTTGGGCCAAGGGCTGGGCTCCGTTGCCAACCCTCCTCCCCATTCGGCCTCTGGTTTCATTCGGCCATGCCGTGTCGCTGGCTTCGTCCCGGTCGAGACCTCTGGGGATTCCGAGATGGAGCCCATTGAATTTGGTTCTAAAGGACAAGCGGGTGGTGAACAAGAAGCTACTAGGAGCAAAGGGCATCGCTACTAGGAGCAAGGACGCTACTAGGGCTAGGGGCTCCTGGCCTTACTACTAGGAACAAGAAGCAATTAGAAACAATATATAAATATATTCCTAAAGGACAGGCTCCACCAAAAGCTCAACCTGGTCGGACGGATGGATGATGGAAGCGGGTGGCAGGGGGGCTATTGTCAGCCATTCCCGGCCACCGGAGGATTGCTGCTTCCAGGTCAGGATGAAAAACAACCGCCACATGACCTTTGGGGGTCGGTCTCCGGGGGATCCTCGGAATGTGATCCTTAAGCATGTCTCATGCTGGCAGATCGCACGGATGTTGCCCATGCTTACAGTGAATCAACCAGACGTTTGATGTAAGTAGAGATCATCACGATGTTTTTGGGGACCCTATGATCATCTATATGATCTCAATCAGAACCATGATCCTTTTCTGGATTCCTCAGCTTCTCCGGCCCTCTTTGGGAAACGCCGATGAACCCCCCCGCTGCGATGGGCTGTTTGGGACCAGGTGAAGGCAGTGATGGAAGGTGAAGGCTTGATGGTGGCCCTGCAGCTTCGGATGTGCATTTGGGGGCGCTGAAGCGGGCTGAAGGGGTGTTCCGTCATGGTGATTGTGGATTTTTACTGATTACTAATTACAATATTGGGACCCACCATATTGGTCACCATATCAAAATGTTTTGCAATCCAAAGGGGGCTTTATTCATCAAGAGTCTACATCTATAAAAGCCACACTGCCTGGTACCGTCAAGGGCCTTTTTGACCTGCCTGCCGACCATTTTGTGTTCTCCTTTCTTTGGGCCATTTCGGGCTGACACTAAGGTGGAAGTGGGTGACATGGTTTTGGACAGGGAAAGAACGACATGTGTTCATGTCCGCTTGCGGAGAGTTCTGTCGATAGATCAATCAATACCACTGAGTCCAAACAGGGAAGAATTCACCTTGCACATGCAGAGATTCATCCCTGGCCTCAAGCCGATCGTTTCCCGCGCCGGCATGCCAAGGGGGCAGGATGAGGACAGCCCTGGCATGTGCAAGTCCCAGCTGGCCGCGCTAATGGCCTTGGTCCTTGTCTTGTCCTTGCCCTGCATGTTTGGCATTGCCCATGCCCTCTGCCAAAAATCGGGAGGGCGTAGTGGGAGCTGGAGAATTGTCAGTCCAACAAGGCGGCTGTTTAGTCCATGCGTCGCTGTTGAGTCCATGGGACGTGAGGCTTCGTTTCGACGCAGTACGCCCCTTTGTCTTGTCCCCCCTCTGTCTTGGGAGAGTCAGTTTGTCACACGAGCTTTGCTCATGAGGTGGGTCTTCGACAGGATCATATGACCACAAGAGGGTACCTCTACCAGAGAAGACAGACTGGCAAGACATGAGAACAGGTGCCTACAACGAAGGGGCTCGGAATTCTTGAAGAATGTCAAGCTTCTGTGTAGAATTGGGCTGTGGATTCAGTGTGATTCATTCCCTGACGCGTTGTGGACAGATGACCATCCTCAGGTTTCACGAATAATCTATGCTTTCATATTTGGTGTTTGCTTTCCAGGTAGGTCTCGCGATCTGTAGATGAACAATTTGTCCTTTTGGAACCCAATTGAGGCTCCTGTCAATTTGGAATGAAGTCGTGTGGAAGCATCCCTCTCTTAGCCCCACCCAGTCACTAATTACAGCTTGGAACCCTCACGGTCATCGCGCACCTTTGTGGACCCATGCCATGAAAGATGCCGTATTCCACGGTTCATTCCCCCAGGGAGTCTAGATCATTCCAAACTCCTAGCTGCCTAGCCTTGCGTCACGGCAGTTTTTTGGGTCTTCTCTCGGCTTGAGTCCTTTTTCGGGTCCACGAAAGGCACCACATCGGTGCCTAACGAAGGGCGTGAAGCTCTTCGTAGCGTTTTGAGCCCCGCAGGTCCTCATCTGGCTCCTGCCAGTCACCAGTTCGCTGTCCATACCCTAGAGGGTCCAAGAAGCACACGGAGACTCGATTTTGTCGAGGCAAAAGTGCGTTCTTCGCTCTTTTCCTGCTGGCTGGGCGTGGCCTTCATGCTCCTCATCCAGCTGTCCTTCTCCTTTCGCTGGTCCGACGAAGACGGCCTGCCGACTGAGACGGCTGAAGAGCAGCCCACTGTGGAGGTGGGCCCGTGCAGTGGTGGAGCCAGGAAGGAAGTATCTCATTTCCCCCTTCGGGGTGCCCAACACAAGCCCATTGTGGTGGTGCAAACGGTGGTCCATGATTGACCCCTTTGATGTTCCACTCAGGTTGGTGATTGTTAGTTGATTTTCGACAGAACAAAGACCTCCGTCATCCCTTTGCCCTTCCACAGGTGATAGGGTGGGAGTTTTGGAATAGGTTACATAGACCCCCAACTAGATAGGAACGTAGATCCCCACTCAACATGTATTGGAAACCATGCCGCGATCTATTTGGGGACCACTATAGAAGAGTCGTGACCGAGCCATCGAGTCGGTGGGTCTTCCAACGGCCAGCATTGGCAGAGGCATGACCAACATGGACGCTGTCAAAACCAGGCTTGCCACCATCAATGTCCCCATACTTGAGGTGGTACTGGGCGCCGCAGCACCATCAGAGCTCGAGAGGAAATATGATTCTCTCTCTTCTAACATGGTGCGCCTGCCCTCCACACGCACCACCGGTTCGAACCGTTATTTGTATGATCACAGCAAGTAATCACCCTTATTCATCCCTTTCCACATTTAGTTCGATCAAGCACCTAATATCACCTAATCTTCACGTCCGATCCAGTCAGTCACTTTCTGAGTCACAGACGCTCCAGGATGAGGCGCCCAGCGAGGTGCAGGAGACTTGAGAAGATGAGCGATCAGGGACGAGCGAAACAAAAACCAGTGGAGAAAAGTGAGGCGGTTTGGTTGCCTGAGGACTAGGGTGGGTGAGCTTTTTGGGGGAGATCGGATAGAGCGGAAAGATGGGTGAGGATCGAGAGTCGGCGAGCCTAGTCCACAAGAATCACCAGTTCTGAGCTGCAAAGTTTGAAGTCTAAGCTGCAAAAGCGTTTCAATGAAAGCTTCCATCACTGTATCGATTTTGTCTCCGTACCCCATGTTGATCTAACTTCTCTTGCGCCCGATCTTGAAATACAAGACAACCTGGTGTTCACATCGGGTACTCTCCCTCAAAACCGTCTCAAGCTCCCTCACAACAAGAAATTCACGTTGTTTCCCCACATTGCAATATTTTCTACTTATAATATACCCCTTAGGTCCCTTTGTCCCACGTCCCTTCGGATGGCTATTTACGGGGGGAATTGGCTGCCCCGTCAAGGTGGGTCATCGAACAGGTCAACACCTTCGCACAGGCACTCGGTTTCCCCAGCAACATGGAGCAAATAGATGTCCCTACGTCCACCCAGACGGCTCCATGTATGGCATCTTTGAATTATTTTTACCTACAATTGGGATGGTTTCAGGGGTCCGGAGTCTGTCAATATGCCAGGTCCCATGGAGTGTCTGGCAGTTTTTTTACCATCTTGACCCACTTTTCGTTCACGACTGCGGCATGAACGGATCAAAACGTCGGTGGCGAGTCCGCGCGGCCAGGCCCTGGCCGCCCTGCCAGAAGCTGCTAGGGTCGGGGAGACGGGTTGGGGCGTGGGGGTGGGAGGGAGCGAGCAGGGTGGGTGTGGTAGGTGAGGTTTCACCAATGTTTGGATGCTTTTGGCAGGCGCCAGGTGCTGACCATGTGATTTATCAACTGGCACGAGAGCTTAAGAAGGCACCAACAGGCTTGGGCTCCAAATAGTGCTTGGGGGTGCCAACTTCGGGGTGTGGTTGGTTTCAACTCTTTTCCAAGCACGAGGTCGAAACGCTGGCATAGCACCCTTGACCTTGTGGTTTTTGGTCTTTCCATCCGTTTCCTTTTGTGCATTCCGTTTCCTGGTGTTTTTTGTCCATCGTTTTCTTGACCCTCGTTCTTTTCTCCCGGTGTCATCTGGTGTCGCTCGCTCTCGCGCGCGCTCTCTCTCTCTCTCTCCCCGTGCCGCTTAGCCCAGCCGAAGACAGTTTGGGAGGTTTGAATGGAGGAATTGGATAGGCCGCCAGGCCTGCGTGGCGCAACGGTGGGTCTTGAGGCAATCGATTGCCGCTTAATAGGAGGCATCAGCAGTACCCAGCCCCCAGCTGCAAGGTAAACAAAAGGGACCAGATTGAATTGAAGAGTCATCATGATTGCTTCATGCAGTCAAGATGCATCCACTCCCTGATTCAGTCATTGGTGTGAAGGGCCAACCGGCGTTAGCCGACCGGCTTGCGTGGGCAGAAAGGGGGTAATTAAGCCGACCCATTCGCTCCAGGCGGGGAAGATCGCAAAGGTCAAGGAGGGCATCTTGAAACGCCTCAAGGAGCAGGTACGGTGCTGCTCGTGCCGATGTGTTTTTTCGCCGCCGCTCGTGGAGCTCACGGTGTCCGGCTCCGGACGGATGGAAGCCCTTCCAAAACAGTTGAAGGCTACTTTCGTATCAAATCATGTTTCAACCAAGAACTTGGGTGGTGAAATGGGTCCGTTCTTGTTCCTCGATTTCGGAGCGTCTGCGCACAGCGACGGAGCTTTCGTGCTGCCAAGCGGGGCCGCCTCCCCCCCAGGCCCTCCTAGACCGGTCAACGCACAAAGCAACAAGCCTCCATAGAGCACCTGGAGAGGTGGGGTGGCAAACTCAAACCCACTCAAACCCACTCAAACCACCATGACTTGGGCCAAAGTTGGGCTCCTATAGCTGCCTCTCTTCCAACCTACGTCGAAACGCATGGAAACACTAAACCACCTCACCAGGCGAACAATGCGAGTCCTCCAGTCCGAGAGCCTAGCGGAGTTCGCTGTGGCACGTGTTGCACTCACTTGCCACTGCTCTTGGATGAGAAAGAGCAAGAAGGTACACGTGTTTCCCGGCATGGTTGATGAACATTTTTTCACTGCACTGGTTTCTACGGGTGGCTCCAGCTTGACTATGGTAAATTCTTCTGAGGTCGATCCACTTGACTTGAAATTTGAGTGGCTGTCATTGTTCTGTGCATTCGTCGTAGATGTGCAGCAGATCATTTTTGTGGATGCTCGGGTGCTGCTCCGCGCCGTGTGCTTCGGGCATTGGACTGCCGCTGGTGAGGTGCCGACGACCGCGGGAACCTTAGGTTGGACGCCTGCTGGAGGAGACTCGACTGACTTGACCCAAGGAAGGCTCAGAGCACTTCATGAAATATGAGCAACTTGGAAGTGTCTTTTTGCCGAAGATTTGGAGGCTCAGACATATGCGTCATGTCTGCTCTGAGCACCTCAATTGAAGTTGAACTGCCTTTCAGATGCCTCAGTGTTTTCATGTCGGCACCTGATATAGCCGCCGCCCTCATGTCCCCGTAGCAGGTCGGAGGGTGGACCTAAATCATGTGGACACCTACTAAATTACTATAATATAATGTGGAGGCGGGGTCAATCATGAGGGAGCCCAAAACCTAAGTTACGTGGAAAGAAATTTGGGGGAGGTTATTTATTGATTGTAATAGATATTATATATAGGGCTTACTTATAGGGCAACCCCTGTGGGAGCTTGAAAAAACAGATATCATTATGTTTGATAGGGCTTTATAACGAATTTCATCCAGGACTTTCTGGGAGTGGCTTTGGGCTTCTGGGCGATTTGGGTGGATTTGGGGCTAGGTGAAGAGCAGTGAGACTTGATGACATGAGTCCGGGGAGCATTGAGATTTATTAAAAGAGCCGGGGGAGAAGGAGAATTGGGTGAGCAGGAGGCTGAAGATATGGAAGAAGATCAACCAGTTCTTGAGCAGCAGGATGCCACCATGGATGAGCAGTTGCTGCCGGTGAGCGTTTCAGGTTCATTACATTTGCCGCGAATACCCGCCCTAGTTGGCCAATGTCCTGCTCAATGATTTGTACTGAGTGGGCAAGTGACCAACAGCAAGAGAGGCGATTGGTTATTAACTGGGTGGGGTGGGGTGTTTGTGGGCACCCAGTTTTGGAATACAGGCAAGATTTTTTTAAAGGCGATTAGCATTGCAGGCAAAAGCGGAATCATTAAGGGGGATAAGTTAATCATGGCTTTGCATTGCTCCGGTCCATGTGTAGGCAAAAGGATGCATCCGAATGAATTCGCAGAAGCGTGCTTTGGCTCATCGCGCACCTTTCGCTACTGCAGTCTTGTTGCCTTACTCAGGAGTGATTTTTGGGCTGCTTCGACGCACGTGGCATGATCCGGCCGCCCACCCGTTTGAGATTAAAATATATAAGCCAATTCCAGCGGCGTTGATACAATCCAGTAGTCTTGCAGCTAACTCGATGGATAGTTGTCACCCTGAATAAAGGGGCCCAAGTGAAGTCTCTTCATTTTGCTCTCAGAGCTACACTACCTCAGTTAAGGCGCCTGCTGCTCCTGGAGTGCACGGAACCCATAGGGCAGCCGAACGCGGGTGGCACTATGCGCGAAATTTGATTGTAGACTGTTACAGCCTCTTTATTCAAAAAGCTTCCATATGAAAGGGTAAAAAACAATCCTGGTACTTGTAATCAACAGTTAGCATTGTTTTTTTTCTGGGTGTGTGTGTGTGTGTTAATTACTGTCTTTTTTCGGGATGCGATGGGCAGTTCCAGCTCCAAGCCCTAGGAAGCGATCTACCCTGCTTCCTGCTACGGGGTGGCATTTTAAACATATAGGTTTCTTCAGATAGGATATGCCCATAAACACGAATAATCAACAGTCCTGTTTCAAGCGCCAAATTATTCACGAACGAAGGTAATTCATCAACTCACGACAACTCATTCCCGCATGCCCTGTTCCGAATGTTCCCAACAGAAACACCACTGGTGACTAGCAGGGGTGAGGTTTAAGATTAAGACACCTCCAGACGTGCACCCATTGGGACGTAGAAAACCGCGAAAGCAGAAAAGGAGAAGGATGGATGTCCTGCACTTAGGGGAGCAAAGCCGGGCACCTGGTAAGCTAGAAGGAAAACATATGAACACATCGATTAGGGCAAGACTTCAGATGGAAACAACCAACCAGGTTGAAGACTTGTGAGTTTTTTCCCCAAATGCTTTGGACTTTGGGCACTAAAAAGCGCTGAGGCTTTTTGAGGGGGTACTGTACATTTTTGAAAGTTTCTTTCTTTTTTGTATGCTCTGCGTCTGTAACACGGATCTCGGACATGACATGACCCCCGTTCTCCAAATGTTTGCAAGATTTGAGGAAGGTGATCACGAGGTGATCAGGAGGGCACTAAACAATTCTGGACCAGGTGTTCAAACAAACAGCTTTAAAGACATGTATATCCATGGTCGAATTGTCCAACTGATTCATTTTGTGGCTCCCCCCCCTTGTTGCTTGAAACGACCATCTGCTTCACCGGTCGCCCTCCGTCGCCCATTCTTGGCTCCAGCCGTTTCCGCAACCGGACGGTTGCCGGTTGCGGACGTGACTTGGTTCCCAGAGGTTGGTTCCAGTGACTGGGCGTTCGGTTGGAGTACATGATATGACCCTCCTTCCAAAACAGACATGGAGGTGCACAAGTTGTCCCACGTTTTGTTGGGCTTTTGGTGGAGTTCGTTATTTTTTACTCTAAATAGGCCATGCCATCCAGATCCATGATGGTTTCGGGGAGTGTCAACCTTTTCAAAGCTGTCACCCTGAAACTCCATGAGTGGAGTTCTAAATAAACCATTGGCAGTCTTCCTTGGCTAGGTGTGCTAATTCAGACAGTTGTTCAAGTTTGGGCACAGATAAGCTGTTCACGGTTGAGGACAGGAATGGACACAGGGGAGCAGCCCTCATAAATATTGGAAACAAGACTGACTCCTCAAGCCAGGCATGGCCATGATGGAATTCCTTCCTCC